CGAACTTAATTTGCACCACTAATTAATCAGTGAGAATTCATTTTAACGAAATTGTACTAAAGGTAATTTTTTTCTTTTTTTAGTTCTTTTGGGGTATTTGTCGCTTTCATTTTGTTATTACTTTTGACCACGTTTTCGTCATTTCGTTAACTTTTAATCATAATCAATCCACTCACTGTTCACTGGCAGTTTACTTTCAAAATATGAAATAACAACGTGAGATGACAGTTATAGTTACATGGGTAAGGAGTATGCATGCATGCGTGTTGCATGCTTGCGTGATGCATGTGTGCATTTATAGGCATGTATCTACGTGTTAGAAAAAATACATTAAAAAAGCAATGATGGTCAAATTACAGCAAATTAAAATGAGAAATCAAATGGAATTGAGGTGAATAAAAAAACTAAAAGATAATTAGAAAATTCGGCTAAAAAAAAGTCGAGGAAGCGTAAAGTAAGTAAAGGGAGTTGAAGAAAAAGAATTTAAAATTAAACTGTGAATTGAAGTGAAAAAAAAATTGAGAGCAGTTCTAAGTCTTTGGCACTAACTTTATTCAAACTTTTTTTAATGCCCATAAAGATAGGCTATCATGAGCCAATGGAAGACGACAAGGCCTCATTATCTGAACTAGCAAAAAAATTTAGCATTGTCCAGTACAATGATATCTTTGTGCTATGCAGTCTTTGTGTTAGCTTATATCCTCTTCATCGCTTTAATTTTACTTGCAAGATTTGGTCACCCTTTCTGTTGGATACTGTGGCTATTCTATTTGAACATAGCTTTAATTTCGGTAATTCGACAATTTCTAAGATGAAAAAGATTCGATCATAGATTATTCATACGAAAAATTATGACTTTCTCAATAATTTCGTCTCCTATTTTCGTGAACTCACAAACCGATATATAAATGGACTAATGGATAGATAGATGAGATAGATGGATAGGGAGATATAGATCGATTAGTTGGATAAGTAGATAGATTAGACAGACAGATTAGACAGGTAGATAGGTTATTGATTAATTGATCGATTGATAAAATAATGGATTGATAGGTTATTATTTGTTTATCTTCAGTTCAACTATTTTTTTTCAAACGTCCGAAAGTTTAGTGGAAATCTTTAATATTTGCAACTCTTTCACCATTTTTCTTCTCAACACTTCTCTAGACAAATTGTGTTTGCATTGGATGGAAGGTCCTTTGAAGGTTCAATGTTTGTTTATATCGATAAAGAATAACTTTTATAGAAAGTGCCAATTTCGATATTTTTCAAACCAAGCATTCATAGACTTTTCAATCTTCTATCATCATGGCTAGGCTTCACGAATGAAGATTTAGGAAAGATCTTATTCATGCTTGCTGCAAACGCTACAAATGTGGGTGTATCCTTTGTGCGTATGCAGTGAATTTTTTTTAATGATGCACAATGTGCAAAGAGTTGGCTCCACCTTTTACTCTAAGATGCTAGGGCCTAGTCATCTAAGATGCTGGGGCCTAGCAAGATATGATAGTGATATTGAAGTCTTAGGATGTTTGTTTTGTTAGAGTATTCTTCTCATACATGGATAACTTTATATGATTTAACGAGTTCCAATTGCCAGGGTATGGAGTTACAATTGTTCTGGAATGGTTAGCTGAGGGCTAGAGAGCTTATCCTATTCGTGGACACACTTTGTCTGACCCTTTTAATTATCGAAAGCATACGCCACGCAATATCGAAGGCATAAGCTATAAGCTCGTTAGAGCCACGTAAGCTTCTCCCCGGTGACAAGGGATGTATGTATGTGTGTATGTATGTATGTATGTATGTATGTATGTATGTGTGTATGTATGTATGTATGTAATGTATGTATGTATGTGTGTATATATTTTTGAAAAGGTAATGTTCGTGGAGAACATCAGAGACTAATATTTAACGATAATTATGAGAGCATTTTGAACATCTGAAATGTTTGAAACTAAACAAAGTACATTCATTGATTTTAGTGTTTGTCTAGCTACCAGTGCATTCCTCCTTTATCGATGATATGAAATGAATTTAATTATCAATTATCAGTAAGTAAGAGAAGTATACTGATAGTATATGAGAATAGGTAAATCTTCTCACATGATAGAAATGCAAGCAACACGAAATATTTTGCCACCTCCATTGGACATTGTTTGTTTTGCCAAACTGATAGTTTCAAAAACGGTTTTCGTTGTAGGCTTCTTAACAGACGTGCAGCTCGATATCATCTCTTTTATCTTTTGGCCTGTTTACTTCAATTTTTTATGGCCATTTATTTGGCTTAACATGAAATTATTTTTGCATTATTCAAGTTAATACACAAAAAATTCCCTCAATTAATCATATTTTATTTGCTTTCGTTCCTTGCTTTCTTTAAAGAATATAGTTAAATAGGAGAGGAAAAAATTTTTTTTTTATTTTAATAAATATATGTTTATCTTTTTATTTTTTATTTATCTACTTTTTGTTGCCATATTTCGCAGTATCTTTTTGTTTCATTCAGCAAAGAAAGCTTATTAGGGTGCAGAAAAACAGTCGATAAAATAAAAGCAAAACAATCATATCATAAGATCCAAAATACTTTAATCAATTTCATCGAAGATATCATTTTATTTTGTTATCATTTACTTTAGCATTTATTAAGTCATTCAGCAATTTTAACAATTTCATTTTTCTTCTTATCCATTCTTGCTTTCCCTTCGTATTTGTATAGTAGTAAAATTCTTAATAAAATCTTAATAAATATTAAAAACATATTTTTAATCATAATTTAGCATGGCATAAAAAATATGTTTTTACAAGCAGTAATTGTTACGTTTGGTAAAATTTTTTTGTTCTTTTTTTTTTTTTTTCTGAACTTTTTAATGGTTTCCTTCAAAAAGAATGTCAACAATGAATCTGTATGAACTTTTGATTTTCCATCACTCTTCATTTCATATTAATGATTTCTTATCAGTTTACAATTTTTTTTCTTTGTTACATCTTTGGTTCATCTTTGATTTCCACATTTGAGTAATAAGTTCATGCCGTACTTTTGGTCATTCTAAATTTAATTGGAATTTTCTTCTTTATTTTGACTCCCTCTGATCAAATTTATGTTATAAATAGCTCATCTCATCATCCTATTCTTCAATCAATATGTGTCAGTTAGTGTACTTTTATTTTTTAAACTTCAGATGTTTAAATTTTAGGTCTTTTAATTAATTTATAAAACTTAAAAATTGACAATTTAAATAATTGCCGTAGACACTGAAAGATTTGATTCCGTGCCACATGAAAAACATGTTAATATAGTTAGCTTTATAGGATAGCTTATAACTGTGACAAAATGTTTAATTATAATATCTTAGAATTCAATTAGAAATCTTTTTTTTTTTCCACCAATAATCTTGAATAGGTCTAATAGCAAAGATATTCACTTGCTATTTTATATCTTCAGCAATTTCGACTACTCTTTGTTTAGTATCTTTTTACGCCAACTTTATTATATCATAATCAGCAGCCAATCTGTTATCTCAGTTCTTCTTTTATCCCTTTCCTTATCATATATGAATAAGTATTGCATACAATGCAATGTATAAGTTTTGAAAATTTTTGAATTTAAATTGCCTCCTAACTTAAATTAATGATAAGATTTAAAATTTAAATTCAAAATGAATTTTGAAATTTTGAATCGAGTTTTATTCCCATTGATATCACAATTATTTGTTTGTTTCAATAAATTTGCTTTTATATCAATTTTCATTTCAATTTTTCGTCGTTAAATTTAATAAATTTTTAGTTTATTTTTCGATTTCAATGACTTTGATATTGGTAGGATCAATCATTAGACGATGCTTCACAACACAACATAACAAACGAACAATTATTGATGGTAAGTGTGATGAATTAAATTTGAATTTTAATTGGTAAAATTCTCAAAAATTAAATCCACTCTTATCTTACACACTCTGCTCATAAGTTTTTAAAAGAAATATTGTTGCTCATAGGCTTTAAAAAAAAGAAAGAAAGAAAAAAATTGTTCCTAATTATTTTCATCCCATTATCATTATTATCACAAATTGTCCAGCAATAATTTGAAAGTCTGTTGGAAAAGTAACTTCGTTTTTGATGCATATCATTCGTTGATATGTAATATTCATTTATCAGTTCATTACAAAAAGAAATTATTTCTCATATAATCATAACATCCCCGGAATATACCATACATACATATTTCAACAAAAATTCATTCCTCTAAGTTCTGGGCTATCAATTTATTCAATTTTTATTTTTTTCACTAATATATTCCTTCATTTAATTATCAAATCAAATCATCGATTGCTTTTGTAGTTCAGAAAGCTCTGGAACATCACGTATCACTTATCAAAAGAAATGATGCAATGACAAAGTAAGCATTAATTATTTAATAAGTCAAATTTTTGTATTGATAATGAAGTTCCGACATTCAAAATAATTACGTAGATGATATTGATATATGAAGTTTTAAGTGAATTATTTTCGTTCTTTCGTCATTCCCAAGATTTCTTTTTCTTTCTTTTCTTTTTTTTTTTATTCAAAGCATTAATGTTTCGTGCTATTTCGGCTTTTACCTTCATAAAATTTCGGCTAATTATCAATCTTGTGTAAGACTCTTAAAAACTATCGTAGAAATTCTAGAACAACACCTCATCAAATTAACTTTTATTTTAAAAATAATACAGTAAAGTGAAGAAGTTCGAGAGCCGAATGATGAACGATAGCCGTGATCAGGTGTTGATACCATTAAGCTTAAAAAGTTCAAGTAAGGAATTTCATACTCAATATATCAGTTGGCGTAATCGTGTACGTTTTGGCAAGCTTCTCGAAGATCTCGACACATTCGCTGGTTTGATTTTGATATTTAACTTATTGTCAATTATTAAAGTGTTTTATTAGCTAATTAAAAAAGGAAAAAAAAGATTAATAGCATATTTTCATTTTTTTTTCAATTATTTCAAAGCTTAAAAGATCTGAAATCCCTTTATTTTGTTTTAAAAATCAAATTTTTGGTTTTAAATTCGAATTTGATAGTAAGCTATTTTTGCAGTTTTAACTAAAATTTCAGTTTGGTTAGCTTATCGACACAATCAAGGAGAAATACATTTACAAAATTCGGTGGATTTTGAACCGATAACATTCGTCACAGCATGTGTTGATCATATCAGTAATTTGAATCACAACAATATTTTTGCATATTTTTAGCTTTTAATTTCACTTTCACTATAAACTATACAATTTTGACAAAAAGATTCCTGCTTTATTGTGGAATGATCAATAATTTTTGAACTTTATATATGGTTTACTTTTAAGATTTACTTTTTATATCACAGGAATGGATGATCAATACGAAATAGTGCTTGATGAAGATATTTATATGGATGGTTTCGTAAGTTGGGTAGGCAGATCAAGTCTTGAAACTTCAATGCAACTTTCTCAAAATATTGTATGTATACGAATTTAAAACTTCATTTCCTAATTTTACAAAACATCCTGAAATTGCTTTCAAAAAAATGATTTTACTCATTTGAAAGTTTTACTCATTAATCTAATAATGGTCCTTAAAATTAATCCCAAAATCAACAAAAATCATTTCTTTTTTTGTTGACAAACTAATAGTATTTCTTAAATTAATTTAAATTAATTAATTAATCTCAATTTTAACTTAATTAATTAATGAGCCTCCTCAATTTTATTTACAAAACACCTATTTGATATTATAAATCATTCAGAATGGTGTAACAAACAAATTTTTACAAACAAAATTTGTAATTGTTGCACGAGACATTGAAGGTAAACAATCGTTACCCAATATTCCATTGATAGTTACAAATGCTAAAGAGGAAGCAATTTTTAATGAAGGAAAAGGTATTCATTTCATATTTTTTCAATGAATTTTTTTTAAAACATAAATAATAGTAATAAAATAGTAAAATTAATTATAAAATAGTGAAATTAAAATTTATAAACGTACATTACAACTTCCATATAAGTTTCCTTATTCTTTTTTTCTTTCTCTCTCTCTCCCTATCCTTCATTCTCCGGACATTTATCTTTGCTTATTCCGCCTTATTATGAAACACTAGGAAAAAAGAAAAAAACACCAAAGTAACGGTACAAAGTGAAAAAAAAAAAAGGAAAAGAAAATGAAGTCATTGGGATTTGGTGATCAGTTAGATATAGCACTATGACAAAAAAAAACTTCAAACTTTCGGAGTGAAATTTCTTAATCAAAAAATTATTCTTCTTTCTTCCTTTCTAAATTATACTTCTTTTAATAAAAATATTGTATAATCTTATGCTATTAAAAATATAATTGATTATGAAGTGTTTCAGAAGGTCAAACGTTGCGTAAATTGAATGAAGAATGTTCGCTGCTGAAGAAACCACCTAATGAAAGCGAAATAAAAATATTACATGATATTTTCATAAAAACCATTCAATCTGGGTGAGAATTTCTATGAAAAAGTTCAATAGGTTATACATTTACATGCATTTTTCTTGATCTCTACTTGTAAGTTTTAAGATTAACTGATAGGAAGTTATAGTTTTTCAGTTAATCAGTAATACAAAAGACTTATAGAATTAAAAGTATGGATTGTTTCCATTCAGAAATTCCAAATTCATACAGGTTAATAGCTTCTTTTGTAAATATTTTCTAGGTTTATATCATAAAATTCAAAATGTATAACATTTCCCAATCTAATCGAACAGTTTTCTCTTTTTAAAACTCATAAATAGAAAGCCATCGAAAATAGTTTTCTTTTTTCAGAGGTCAAAAAGGTCATAGCCGAATCCTACCACCTAATCATGTATGGATTCATGATGCTCGTCTTAGCAATACCATTGTTTGTTATCCAATAAAGCGAAATATATATGGTAAAATATTTGGTGGTTTTCTAATGCGAAAAGCTGTAGAATTAGCTTGGTCCAATGCATCTTTGTTCAGGTACTATTACTATATTTATTTCTCACGTTTCATTTATTTCACTCTCCCCAAATTCATCTCTTTTTTCTTCACGATTTATTCATAAATTTGATGATTTTAATAATTACTTGCTGTAATTCAATTACATTTATATCGATACAAATTATTATTACATATTGCAGCGGAAATCGTTGTCGTATATGTGGTATGGATGACATTATGTTTCGTAGAAGCGTAGATGTTGGTTCAATCCTTTTGCTTACAAGCCAGGTAATTTCAGTAAACCTTTTTTGAATTTCCTATTAAATTAGGATGGCCATAGATCAGGGTGAATTCTTTTTTCACGCTACTTTTTAACGTTTTTTTTTTTTATTCATGTATATGCAATATTTCTGATCAGTGTATGACAAAACTTTGGAGGAGAGATCTGAAATTCAGTAACGATCATTGATCACGTTTCCAAATACCCATCTAGGTATTTCTTTTTTTTTTTTTTCAGTTTTTGCCCGATTTTTTCTTAGCTTCATTCTGTGAAAGCTCTCAAATTTAACATATAAGAAATACGCTGACAGATAGGACACTGCTCATATTTGATAATGCAAGATTTGGAATTCACGTGACATAATGTATCATCATGTATCATCTATATCGATTATTAATAGCATTAACCTTCGATTTCATGGCTGGTTGAGTTTTCCTTATCTTATGTTAAATTTAACAGGCTTTTTTTGATGAATTTAGCAATACCTGGACTGGATATACCTAACCGATGTTCTTATGAACTCAACCAATCATTATGACAGATTATTTTGCCAAAGGAATCTAAACTTTTTCCAAGCAGCTTCTAGCTCCTGCGAATGTCCCCCTCTGCGTTTTGATACTAAGATCCTATACTTTGACAGATATCAAGTGAAGTTTTGATGAAGTATTACAAGTTATGCGTCGTTCAATTCATCCCGAAGAATATTAGCATGAAACAATAAACAATATCGATTTACTTCATTGCTTCCAACAATTATGAGTAGTTATAAATCCTTGAAAAACAGATAAGAGAATCGATTTACAGTCGAGAAATCTACGATTGCTCCTTCCATATCATCATACACTTGATAGATAAAGCAATCGTTCTTTTCTTTGTTTTATTTTCACAATAATTACATCAAATCACCGTCAACATATTTTATCCTAAAAAAGTTTTAGTTTTATATAACAAGATACAAAAATGAAATGAACATTCAGCGATTATAGGTATGTTACAATACTGATCATTACATGGAAGTTGTTGTTGATGCTGAAGTTTTAGAAGTTATGACCGGAAACCGTGAAGTAATTTTTTTTTTCTTTTTTTTTCTTTTCACAATAATCAATACGTTCAGTTGAAAAATGTTGTGTTATCATTTGATGCAAAACAGTATGCATTGATGAAATACAATATTTAGGTACATTCACATATTGTTAGATATATTTTTCATAACCATTTGTTCCCATCTATTTTTTTTTTTTTTTTGTAATGAATGATCATCAATGAAGACTTTCTATAATCACATTTTTTCATAAAAGATAATCTTATTGTAAAGAAAATATGGTACGGATACGAGATATATACAAATGGAAATATTGAAGACATTGTAATCTTTCACAATGCTTTTCAAAATAAATATGAAAAAATACAGAGAAATTTCTTTATATGTATAGCTGGACGTATTCGTTTAATGTTAAAAATTTCAGTTAACAAATACATTTTATCTAACATTTCATTCGAATCGTATCGTACCAACTGTCGTACCGTATTCATACTCAGGTATGTGCATTCCAAATTTTATTCATTCTTTTTCGAGGGCATTATATGGAAGGTATGGAGACAATCAGTTATCAAACTTTTCTTGTATAGGATCGGTTAATCCGTATGCCTTAATCATTCGCTTCAAGAGGATTCTGGCATATGGAAATACATACCAATCATTTAAGAAGCATTCTGATCATTTTCTACAAATTTTCATACTATCCGAGAAAATTTCAAATATTAAATTGGAAAATTTTTTGTATTCTTGAAATATTTTGCATAACATGATACAGCTGCAAATTATTTTTCTTTATTACCATCTCAAACTTGGATAATTAAACTATTAGATAAATAAAACAATATTAGTATAGTGAGATCATTAAGAATTACAGAACACAAATTAACGTATAAAGTTCATTCCAAAATTGTCGCCATAAGACAAATCTCGAAGACACCAATCTCGAGAGTAAGAGAAAAAAAGAAAAAGAATATCTGCCTGCTATATGCAGGGCTTTTGTGTATGTTCTTCAAGGATTGATTTCATGATTACAAGGATTAGTGTCTTTGTTAGCTCATGCTAATAAAGTACTCCTTGTTAGCGTACATTAATGTAGGACTCATAGATATACAGCTAAACAATGAGCACATAACAATTCTGTGCAATGATTGCGTCATGCTCATACAGAAAGGACTAGATGGACTAGACTAGACTAGATGATCCCAGAAAGGACTAGACTAGATGATCTTTAATCTTAATCACAATCTAACATAATACATGCAAAAATTAGTACATTACAATACATTCACTTATGATTCTTTATATTTTCCTTTAACACGAAATTTGGCGTTTATTCGTAGCAAACATATATATATATATATATAAGACATTAACTTTAATCCCGAAGGATGTTTTTGAAATGTGACAAGATAACTTATAAAGGATAACATCATCACTAATGAAATCTCTTTTTTCATTTCAGAAGGAATGCTTTACTTGGATGCAAGACGACGTTTGGATGAATTCTTTTCGCAACATCACACGGTAATTCAATAATGTCATCTTTCTGTTCGGAAATTGTAACAAATAGGGAATGTGAATGTCCAAAGATTGAATAATATGAAAAGGATCATAACATTTCATGCAATTATTTCGAACTTTTGTTGCTACATTATGTTGTCAATAATTTCATCCGCATGATAAACTATTACTAGTTCACATATAATCTGTTTACTTTTTGATGTTGAGCTGCTCCGAAATTTTTGACAAATGTTGTAAAAGAATTGTTGTTCCGAATTCATATCCTAAAATGATACATATGTTATCCAGGATTGGAGAATTTGATTTTACGATGATCTAAGCTAATGTATTTCGATAAGTTATTTCATTGTAAAAAGTGTTAGTACTTGGTAATTATCATAATTGTTGGACAATGAACAGTTGATATGAAAGTCGGTCATTTGTACTATGACTAGCTTTCCTTGATCAATTCATGCCACATTGGTGCGCTGTGTTAGTACTTAGTAATTATCATAATTGCTGGACAATGACCATTGATATGAGAGTCGGTCATTTGTACTATGACTAGCTTTCCTTGATCAATTCATGCCACATTGGTGCACTACTCTGTAATCACAGAAAAGCAGTGTTTTCACGGCTTTCTTGATGCTTACAGAATCACATGTACTTGCCACTTCAGCCATTGTTCAATTGTGCAATCTGATAAGCTGTCGAAGATTATTCAAATTTGATTAGGTGTTGTTGTGACCTGTAGAAGTTAGCTGAGAAAGAAATGAAATTTGAAAGTGCTTTCTGTTGCGATGAAATTCAGAAAGAAATTTGGTACGGCAGAAATGCTTCGTTAAGTTAAAAGAAGAGAAATTCGATTTCAAAAAATGAACTAAATTTAGTGCTATGCGATGAAACATGCCCTAACATATTTTACTGAATGGATGCTGCAATGTTTTTGAAAGTAGAGGGGAAAGATGAAATTTAACTCTTTCAAATTTCACATTCAACTAGTTGCATTCCGGAACTCGTCATTTTTAAATCATCGCTGTACACACGATTATCTTACAATGTCCATTTTCTTTTGATCATTCGTTGTATTCCTTCGTACTTAATTCAAATACTACTGATGAGAATTCGTTGTGTCCATCGGCTTCATTGGCTTTCCAAATTTTTGTCTGAATTATACCCTGAATGCAAAAATACCTTTCACAGACTTCATTTGTTCATCTTCGGAAGAAAACTAAGGCAATAAATCTCGAGTTGATCAGTTAATCGTTAAATTGTTAGTAATCTTTGTGAAATCGCAAAGAGTTTAACGAAATTATTTTTCGTATTTACATTGTTTTCGAAAAAAAACGCAAATGAATTCTTTTCCTTCCTAATCAATGAATTTTTTTTCTTTCTAAATCAATAAGAAACATATATTGAAGCAGTTTGCTTTCATTAAACAGTAAACATTGAACATATGACGAAATTTCCATACCGTTTTTGATGAAGACAAGGATGAAACCGAAGACACTGGAAAGTTTCTGGATTCATTCGGGTCAACTTGTTCATTTTCCGTCATTGTAATAATTTTATGTATGACCTCGTTTGACACTTCTCAAATAAAACGAGGACAATTGAAAAGTATGAATACGTGACAAGAGTGTAATTAGCTGCAGAAAACTTCATACAATAAATGCTTATCTATATCGATTACTCTGTGACACTTTCATCAGAATGTTAATATGTTTTGCATTCTACTTTATCATTTTAAGTTTATGCCTCCTTATTAATATGTGAAAAAAAGTTCCACTGATGCGCTCAAAATGTTGAAGTTATGTTCGATGAATTGCCATTTGCATGCGAAGTTACAAAGCAGTTGCATGCATGTTTAGAATAATTTGAAGACTTTGAAAGTACTGGAAACTTTTCCAAAGTTTAGTTTCAAAGAATTCAAAGAACTTCAAATATTAGCTCCAGTAGTTGTCTATTATTTAATTACAATCAGTGACACATGATATCCAATTCATTACAAGATTATCTACACTCTTCTCTTGTAACCATCTTTTTTTGCAACTGGAAATTTCCATAAGAATGCCACAAAATGCAGGTAGAGTTATTCAATACCGTACGGATTAAATATTCCTTTAACCAGTAACATTTAATAGCAGCAATCCGCCGGTTTTAATTTATGCAAATCTTCACATTCTCTGTTTCATCGAAACATTCAAGCTTTCACTATTTCTAGTAGCCCAAAAGCACATTCATCAACTGTCAGTTCAGAGATCGGAAAATGAAAATGCAAACGAGGAAAATATAAAATATGATGTGAAATGGATGAATTAAAAACTGTTTGGACCTTTGGTCGTTTAATTCCAACAAATCTGAAGTAAAAAGCTTTCATTCGAGCATTTTTGCCATTTCAAAAATTTTGTACTTCACCTTGTTCTTCACTATGTCGATGGTACACATCATTTGGTTCAATCTTTTGCTATGCATCGCTTCAGCTCAGAATGGAACTTTATCTTCACTTGATCTCACCACTGATAACTCTGCTATTCATTATCCTATCATTCCCATCCGTTTTCAACCGTTTACTATTCCCTCTGATGGATTTTCCGGCCTGAGAGGAACAGTTAAAGTAGTTCCAACCAAGTCAGCAGAACAATGAGGACGTCATAGAAGACGATGATATTCCGGATGACTTTCACTGGGTACTATT